GTTTTTCTTGTTTTGGACTGTTTCCGCCGATGGAATTTTTTTGGAGAATTATTAGAGAAGATCACCCTATTTTCATCAAGTTGTTGATATGGTTCTAGTCTTTCAAAAATGGTATAATACCTTACTCGAACGAGAGTAGCTAGTGACTCGATCTAGATAAGTCGTAACTCGGTCAACATGGTCCAAAAGTCCACTCATTGTATATATAAAAATCCCAAAGTTTCATGCGAAGAAGACATGGACAGTCTACAAGGATCGCCTCTATGCCAACTCGCTTGAAGCACTATTTAACCGGGTCACGTTGACCTTCGACAAAAGAAGGGCATGAATCGCCTAGCACCCTCACGGCTAGTCATTACAGCACAATTTACCAATTTATGAGTTTAAATGACTAACCTAATCAATGAAACATTAGTACATCAACATTACAAATCATTTGGAGAATGATTACCACTAACAGTATCTCAATTCTATCTCATGAGTTGACGGAATTGGTAATTTATAAAAAAAAATATGGGGTGTCCGAATGTCAGATATCAGGAGATCGATGATCGAGTTGGTAATTTATGGAAGACACAGAGATGTACATAGCAACTCTATATTTATTTTGTTTTGTTTTGTCTTCACAAAGTTATGCCGTTTGCCGCCTGTTGTGGTGTGTGGCTGGTGAGTTGCCCACGCTGCTGGTTCGCCCACCCAACCAAATCTGGGATTCTTCTTGGAACCATTCCCTGCCATTGCTAAATGCTAAATGCTGCAGACTGCAGAGTCCCCCATTTCTGAGTTTTTCTGTCTTCTTTGATGTTTCCCCATCCATCACCCATGCTTCGCTCCAAAACAGATATGAAAACAGGGCATGCGGGCCTGAGCTGTCTCGTATGTATTTTTGCAATAGCTGATAATTTGTTTTGTGGTTTTGAATATACTGATGCGCTCAACTAGGTTGCTAACCTGTTCAGTTTTAGTTCATCACTAATTGGAACGATAATCTTATCGGTTATCCATTTGTTATCAATACAATATTCAGAGCTACAAGACCTACAAAAGTCATGTCTTAACACCTTTGATACGAATCATACCACTCTCCGATATGATAGTATCAGGGGGAAAAATACACATGGTTTTATATGTTTTGTAGTTATGGCTAGGGCTGCTAATGAACCAAACCGCTCATGAATGACTCGACGTCCGACTCGAGAAAAACTTGTTGGATACTCGACTCGTCTTTAACTGAGCCAGCTTGCGAACAAGCTCCCCTGTAAATGAGCCGAGCTCGAGCCATGACATATCCAGCTTGATTGGCTCGCGAACAAACTCGAAAACCTTTTTAAGTGTTTGTTGTTGGTGTCTTGTGAGCCGGGTTCGAGCTCGAGCTCAAGCTACAATCGACATTTTATCAGTTGAACTCGATTTTGCTCGTCAACCTCATTTGGCGAGTCGAACTCAATCTTCTGTTTTTGTAAACTAGTCGAGCTCAAGTTTGCCTATTAAAACTGTGTCGAACTCAAGTCGAGCTCGAGTTTGGAATTATTTTAACGAACTTGAGTTGGCTCGGCTCGGATCATTAAGAGCTCTAGTCATGGCCATATGGATTTTGTATCATATCATGTTTCTGTTAAAATAAAATAATTCAAGATACTTCAACTATAATTCTACATTAAATAATAATTAAACATCAATATAATACATCATCTATCGTAAATTCAGAATCCAAATTTCAATACATAAAATTAAAAACAATATCCAGCATCTACATCCCATTATTAAGTACCTTTAGGCTAGACGTCACAATGGCCACAAGACCATCATCATTCAAATACATAAAATAACAAAGACGACTAGGAAGCGAAGTTCTTTCTTTTTAGAGTCAGATAAAGGGTGACTTTAATCTTTGTACTCTTTGACACATTTGAGACTCTTTGTATAGAGCTCTGTAATTATTGTCAAAAAAAAAGTATAGAGCTCTGTAACATGCTTTCTCTCTCTCCTCCTCCAAAAAGCAACACTCACGTAGCATTCACAATATCCACTCCTAGTCTTTCTTTGTGAGTCGGTTGTTGCTCCTAGTAAAAGTCTTCTTAAGTTTCTTTAACATGTCACTACTGTTATAGGACAATTCAAGTACCACATCGGTTATACAAGGGGAGGAACCCTTGTATATTAGTGTCCATCAATCTCATTAGTACGAGACCTTTTGGGGAGGACACCCAAGAGTAAAACCGTGCGGGCTTGACCCAAAGCGGACAATATCGTACTAATTGAGCGGCCCAATTTCGACAAGTGGTATCAGAGCCTGGTTCGGTGCGGGGCGGTGGACGTCAGTTTGGTGGACCCTCATTCGGTGAACTCGGGGTTTGAGATCTGCGTTTGGTTTGGTGGATCCAGGAGAGATCCACGTTTGGGCTTGGCGGATTGTTATGGGACAATCCAAGTACCACATAGGTTATACAAGGGGAGGAACCCTTGTATATTAGTGTCCACCAATCTCATTAGTACGAGGCCTTTTGGAGAGGACACCCAAGAGTAAAACCGTGCGGGCTTGGCCCAAAGCGGACAATATCGTACTAATTGAGCGGCCCGGTTTGACAACTACGAACCTCGATGTATCATGATCACCATACTACAACATGAATGGTACCATTTATTTAATACTTCATACGGTGACCAAGAGATAATTAAGTTGACACTATCGATTCATAAATTGGATGGTATCCAAGTATAACGGATGATTACGTTACATATGCATGGTACGTAACATGCCCTTTGATATTCTAACCTAAAGGAGACTACTATAATCCACTGCATCCCCCAGCTACCAAGAAAACATATGCATCCAGATCCAGACGAACATATCACAACATCTCCACGAGATGGAAAATTTGAGACCCTATAAGGGTGTCAGTTCGGGTCGGGTTCGGTTACCCAACCCGAAACCCGAAATCGAAAATCACTAAAACCGAATCCGAACCCGATAAGGACTTGCGGGTTCCGGTTACCCGAAACTCGAAAATTCCTTATCGGGTTCGGGTTTGGTTATAGCAAAACCGAAACTCGAAAACCCGAACGCCTAAAAATACGGGCTGAGTTCTATTCATTGGAGGTTTTTAGCCGGAATCAGAAAAACCGATAAGCAAAACCGAACCCGAAACGAACCTGAACCCGAAAAACCAAAAATGTATATAATCGGGTCGGTTTCGGATAAACTCGAAAAACTGAACACGAATGGACACCCCTACCTATAGTGTTTGTGAAGTCTTGCCAACTGAGCTGGGATCACGTGTCAATTACCAGAATAGTTCAACTTCAACATAATCCAACGGACACCCTTCCATTTCTTTACTTTCAAATTAATATCTTATTTTGGTCCAAACTATATTCAAACTTTCTATTTTGACTAGTAATTTCTAAAATTACTTCATTGGCCTGAACTATATGTACAATGCCGTCCACCCCGGGCCACGGCCCAGCCTTCCTCTGGATCCGGAGCTAGTATAGTTCTTATGAGTTTATCAATTTTAGCCATTCGGTTTAGTGTTATTTTATAATAAAATTGTGTGCAAATAAAAAAATGGGTCAGATTAACATATTCAAAACACAATTCTAAATTTAGCCTCGAAATTTTAGCTCCAATGATTCTCCTCTAAAGAAAAACAAACAATGAAACCTAAAATTCTGAAAGTCTAAAACGTAAAAGACTAAAAGAAATATGAGGCTTGTTCCCTTGAAAAATTACTCAAGTAGCTGGTGGACATAGGAATTGACACACAATACAAATTGATTAGTCCATTTATTTGTCTAGTGTTGACATTGCTCGTTTCAACAACTATTATGGAGAGAACCTTTTTCAACAATAATACGGTGAAAATTTATTTGTGTAATAAAATGAGCGATGAATTTTTCGCCGATTGATTAATTATGTAGACTCCATTATTGATGAATTCACTACATTAAAATTTAAAAGATGGATGTGTACTATTGATATTGTAAAAAAAATAATTTTTTTACAGTATCTAATTTTCTAATGAAATGCGGCTCAGTGCTCTACCGTATCCTGGATCCGCCGCTATATATGTATTATACTTCCTTATTTGGCCCGACACGAAATTTTGACAATCAAATTGGACGGTCAACTCCATTGATCGTTAGTCAAGCGTGATGTCACTTGCCACATCAGCACCCCAAAAATAAGAAATTTGGATTTTGGAATTATTTTTTCTTATCCAAATTATTTTTTTTAATTATTTTTTATTAGAAAATGAAATGAATTGCTGTAGAAAAATGAAATGAATTAAATAAATAAATTAATTAATTAAAAATTCAACTATGTTATTTTGGCTTACGTGGCAAGTTACATGGCACTTGACTAATGGTCAATGGAGTTGATCGTCCAATTTGACTGGGTCAAAATTTTGTGTCGGGTCATGCAACGAAGTATGGTGCATTGTTCAGGCAAGGGGAGTCATTTCAGAAACCACGGGCAAAATTAAAAAGTTTAATTATATTTCGGGGCAAAATAAGATATTAATCCTTACACCGACTCCACTACCAACTCCCAGTAGCAACAATGAACCCACTAATTCGATACAGCAACAAGAATATGTATATATCGCACATTTGGTAGGTAAGTGGTTGAAACGTGATTCGCCATGTGAGGATACTGTTAGAAGACTTAGCATACCTGGAGCTTAGCTCGGACAAACCACTTTCTACATATTTCCCCCACTTTTAGAGTCGTACTTTCGTAATGCAATGGCATGGACCAAACCGATACGCTTCTAGTTCGGTTCAACCTCACCGATTAGCTTTGTGATCTAACGGGTTAAATGCACCATTAGCCACTTAACTATTGTAATTGTTGCATATTAACCACTTTGACGATTTTGGTTGCAACTAAAGCACATATGTCGTATTCTTGTTGCAACGTTACCATTTCCGTCCTCTGATGTAACGGTAGGTATCAAAGTGGTAATTTCCCGTCACACCTAAGCATTCCACGTCAGCTAAGATGCTGAGTCAAGCTGTTGAGCTTTGTCATCATAGTTCTTAAGCTCATTCATGCACCTCTTAAATTCTGCATCATAACTAGCTCTAGCAGCATTCCATAACAAGTCTCTGGTAGTTTTATTGCTTCCTTGTGCCCTGTAGAGATTTGCAACGAGGTGTCTGACACAACATCGATGCTCGGCATATGGAACTATACTCTCCAAGGCATTCAAGAGGCCCTGCATCCAAAAATCCAAATACAAAACAAGGATAATAAGTAAGTTGCATACTGGTTTTAGAAAAGAAACTTTATTTTTTGCGTAATCGAACTCAAAGAAAGTAACACAAACTTTTTGCTTATCTGACATGAACATCCAACTTCCCAGATCTTCAAAGATATTAAGGTCAACGCATAACTGTTTTAAGAACCAAGTCCAATTTTCGCCATTCTCAACTGTAACAGCAGCATATGATATAGGAAAACTTCCACCATTCCCATCTAGTCCAACAGCAGACAATAATTGACCTCCATATTCTGTCTTCAAAAAGCATCCATCGAGCATAACAATCTTCCTACAAGATGCAATCCCCCTTTTACACGGTTCCAAGCAACAATACATCCTTTTGAATATGTTGGAGTTTTCACTGGTTTCCACATAGCAGGTAGAACCAGGACTTGTCCTACGAACTTGTGCACAATAGTCTTGTAACTTGCGATACTGCTCTTTAGCATTTCCCCTTAGAAGTTCCTTTGCTGTCCTCTTAATTCTCCATGCTTTCCATCTTGAAATAGTCCAGTTATAATCTTCTGCAACGGTTTGAATGATTGATTCAGTCTTCCATTCCATATCAGCCTGAAACCGTTGTAAGTACCTCCGAGCAATGAAGTTAACATCTCCAAACCTGTTCTTGAACACCAAAACACAACCTTCATGCTGCAAACGACATGTTCTTATTTGAACAGCTTTCCCATCATCTGTTGGGCCTACCCATATATTCCACGGACAACCTTGTTGGCATACAACTTGAACTCTACTCTTGTCACTATGCTTAAACTTGAGAGGTTGCTTGCTGTTGATAGAATAATTCTTGATTGCATCCTTGAATGTGTCGAAATCTCGAAATACTTGATGTAAACAAAATTGAGGATCACTCATATCTTTCTCTGGATTGAACTCAGGGTATCTTGGCCGAGTGGGAACTCTCTGTTCTTCTTCATCATCATCTGAATGGACACTGCCCAAGTAATCAGAATCATACTGATCATCCTCAAAACTGCCCTCGAATGCATCATCTATAAAAATTTTATGGTTGCCAGCCTTCCCATCATTGTCTTGCCCCTCCAAATCATCCTCGCCTACTTCAAAATTTTCACCTGAAGCTAGTTCGATATCACTATCTACTCTGTCATCTTCTTTGTCTGCCTCCTCATCATTGCCTTGCAGGTCCCTATCATCTAAACCAGTCTCCATGACATGCTGCTGTTCAACTGTACTATGCATAATTTCTGTGCTACCTTCTCGACCAGCCTCCCCATCATTGTTTTCCAAGTTACAATCATCTAAACCATGCTCCAGATCATGTTCTTGTTCAAATGGACTATGCAGAATGACTCTGTCGCCTTCTCTGACATTTTCTTCTTTATCTGCTTCTTGTGCAGCCTTATGAAATTCCTCTTTATTAATTAGGTATACCTCCACAAACTTGGTATCTTGAATTACCTTAGCAGCCATGTACACAATGTCTTTGTCACTTGTCAGTTCCCGTAGCCCTTCCTTCAAGCGTTCTCCTGGTAGTCTCCAGTAGTATGACCAGCCACAAGTCGTCCTATATTCCTCCAGCATTCGGACACTTTCAAAATGGTCGAAGTCGACAAGGTATCCATCAAGCTCGAACAAAGACAAGCAATCTGGATCAATCCAGTCCAAATATTTGACTTCACCACCGAAATAGCATACATCTTCTCCAACTATATACACCATCTCCCCATTGTAATGAAGCTCAATTGTGAATTTGTCATCATTAAGTCCTAAGATAAAAATAAACACTATCAATACAATTGCAGCAGCTGTTGGAATTTGAAAAGATATCAATCTGTTGAAAGCATGACAGTTGATTAAAATTGCAGCAACAACATATAATTTAGGACTCACCATATATAGGTATTTTCTCGATGTCTCCTACTTCTCTAATGGTTGGATGCATCTTTTGCACTTCAAACAAAAGAAACAGGTGCTTTAGCAGTATAACCTGTTACAACAATTGGTGGAAGGTCAAATCTTTGATGCATATTGTGGAATCAAACAGTAAAGAACATAGACTTCATGTACAGAACAGAGCAGCCCCTCATCTCTAATGAACCTAGAATTCACTCACCTATTTCTAACCATCAACAACTATCTTCGTCAATCTCTTGTTCCGAATCCCTAACAACAAGGAAAAAAACAATAAGAATAATAATCAGAGGAAGAACGTCGGAATTGCAGTTGCTTGGGCCTGAATGAATTACCAGAAACAATGGCAGTTGTGACTCTATGTTCTTCTTCTTCGTACGATCGTCTTGGCCTTCCTGTCTCCTTTCTTCTAATGATCGACTTCCTGAATCGGCTTTGAAAAGGAAGGGTTCCGCCTTTTCAGTTTCCGAACTACTGCAGAGTCTGATAGCAGGAATATGAGAAGACGATGATCTTCTGTCGGCCGAAATTGTTTCCGTGTTTTAATGGGCCCAATGTTTGATTGGCCCACACATGACTCAGCAACTTGACTCAGCATCTTAGCTGACGTGGAATGCTTAGGTGTGACGGGAAATTACCACTTTGATACCTACCGTTACATCAGAGGATGGAAATGGTAACGTTGCAACAAGAATACGACATATGTGCTTTAGTTGCAACCAAAATCATCAAAGTGGTTAATATGCAACAATTACAATAGTTAAGTGGCTAATGGTGCATTTAACCCTGATCTAACATCCAACATGGCTCAGTTCATAGTGCGCGACTGCGCAATGCAGTGCAGTTCGACTGCACAGACTGCCTGCTTCTAGTTTGGATGATCGATATGGTTTATATTTACCTATCAATATCCTTGGCTTGAACAGGATTCCTCCTCCACGTGAAGCAGGATACAGCAAAGACACACAATCATAGCCAATTAGTAACAAGATAGATTACTACTCAAATCATACACAGTACACAAAAGGGTACATATTTCACCACCCAAGTCTTTGACAGCACCAGGCCATCCCAAAAGCTTCTTGTCCAATACATCATCAACATCATATTGACTGACCCTGTTGTGTGTTGTTGTACAATCCAACTATACTAACAAGCAAAAATTGACCGCAGATATTCGGAGTGGTGAGCATCGCAAAAGAATAGTGTGAATTAGAAAGAGCCACCGTCACTGTCGGGTATCTCGATCACGAGAACGTAAATGTGGACCTCAATCGAATGCGTCAAACTTCTCTCATTTCCATGCAACTGAATCGATTTCGTCCCGTGCTGATTTGTATAGTTCGAGCCTCTTCGCCAGCTGTGTCCTCCTTTCCATCAATTGTGGGTCTTCATCCAACATTGCACCAAGCTGCTCCTTCTGCAAAGGGACAAAGAGTGTCGCCAACAATAACGTCATTTGTGTTGCAAGTGTCTTTTTAGATGAACTTAGGAAACCCCTTCACGTAATGAACCGGAACCAAGAAAACATTACACAGTTGAGTGACTAAACTTAGGAAAAGTTCTATAGTTCACATAACTATGAGTAAACCTACCAGGGACCATTACTATGAGAAGTTCTACTGTCCACATCGATTCACGCTAAGTATTAAATTAAATGAGTAAACCCCTAGCAATATCTGCACACGACACCAGAGCCAGATCAAATTCTCCAGGCTAAGGTTAGCTACGAACAAGGGTTTGGTCTAGCTTTGAACGTGGAGGTCCCAGGTTCGAATCCCTAAAGTAGTACTTAAATCACAAAAGGTAAACCTATATCACCCTTATCCCAAAAACCTATGGTTCTCAAGAGTCTTTATGGTGAGTATTTGGAGACCAAGAGTTCCATTGGAAGCCTTTCATCGTTCCTGGAGCTTTTACATCTAGCAGTTTTTGCACTGACTGGCATCTCTCCATATAATATGTTATGCCAAGGACAGAAAATTATTTTGGAACAGTACTCTCTCGTCCTATTCGTAGTTTATGATATTTTCTGAGAGACATTTGGTCTTCCAGCTACTATTTCATGTCCCCTGACCATTCTGGCTACTAAATGCATGTGCACGGCTCTGTACATAAAAGAAGCGTACAGAAACATGGAAAATAAGGCGATAAAAAAGCCAATAAAGATTAAAGAAGCATTACCTCTCTTCTTCCTATTTGAGTATAGAAGTGATTAAGAAGAGATCTCTTGGCCTCTCGGACCTGACAATACACTACAGCCTTGGGAACCGAGTTCCGCAATGTATCGCAAACCATGTTAATGTAAGCACTGACATTTGATCCTGAAACAGAGTACGGCACATGTGATGTCAGTTATTGCACTATCTAAAAATGCAAACATTAGGCATCTCGCTCGTTCAAGTTTGATAATTTTCTAACACTATACAGTTTGCATTCCGAACTGACCAAGTAGATAGTTCAAAACACTTGAAATGTTTTTTGGTGAATGCATGACTTACGAAGGGAAACAATCAGCACTGGGAAAAAAGATAAACTTGCTCACCGATCCTTCTGAAATGATAATCATTGTAACGGTCAATTGCTGGGACAGCTGGGTTTGGGGCTTCTTTTGAGTTTGTGGGCTTGTCTGGCTCCATTTGAAGTTTACGGAAAAATTCCACGGTCAGATAGCTAGACTCCATGTCCACTAGTCGCAGAACTGTTTTTCTGCTATCATCACGGAATCTTTCCAGGGCTTCGTTAGCAGCAGCAGCAATGTCAGCCTGAAGCGTTGGAAAACGCTTCAACTCCTGCATTATCACGAGTTGATTACATTTAGGTCATAAGAGAATATTTCATGCAAGGAGTGAATTGTAAAGATGTCAAAGAGCCTAAATTATTTTAGATCATTCAAATCAACATAATTTCATAGTCTGACCATATCTCAATCTACTCAAAGTATAATCCATGTAACAAGCAAGAGCATCTGCTAAGTGAAAGCAATGCCACTATCAAAGTGCTGCAGAGGTAGCCTGGTAAGAGGCCACAATAAGCATCACAAAGGGAGACCACTTGACGACGAGAGGAAGACAATAATTTTTTATTAGATGATAAGTTCATCCAAACAGGAGTATTATCTTACCCTCATCACCACTACCAGTGATAACTGCAGTATGCACCAGTTCCATAATCAAAATATGAAATGATTAAAGAGTTACTAATAGAAAGAGAATAACTGTGCAGAAAGTCTTCTAGCAATCCCTATGTTCTGAAACAAATTCCATATTTCCCTTCCTCTTATTTTCTTGACAAGCCAACCTCTTTCCAGTTCTATATATAGGTCAAACAAGCACACTAGATTCTCAATTACATTTTGCACGCGACCCAAACATGATAACAAATTCAAATCAGTCAGCAGCCTATGATGAACAATTGTTGAAAATGATTCTTGCAACGAAGGAGTCTTTACCTCTGTTTCAGCCATTGACTTCCTTACAAGTTCCTTCAAAATGAAATGCACCTGCATATTTATCATGGAAGAGATTACATAAGCAATAGAAAGAACATGTGTGAACGACAAAAGATGACAGCTACAGGTTGTGACCAGAAAGAAAAGTTGTTAAAGATGACACTTCCTACAAAGAAAAAACAAACTGACAACACAGAACCAAAGTTCAGGTACATAAAAATTATAGTTGTTTCAATTAAATGATTCGTTATTTTCCATTGCAACGTAAGCAAATAACCAGTAATGCACCACTATTATAGAGGAGGTTTCCCAGGGTGATATATGTACAAGAAAAATGATGATATACATATCTCTGAATTCAAAACCCACAAAATACTTCATGAATTTGGAAGATACACTATGAATCCTCTTTCTCCAGAAGAGAAGGAGAGGGGGGAGACTAAGTATACATGGACATGCATTCAGAGCATAACCAATGGCTGTGGCTTTTTTCCACTTGATAGTATTATTTTTTCAGCATAAATGGCCAAACCAAGCACATCACATCTATATGCACACGTTGATAATTGATTGTCTATTATTAGGAAGGAAGTTCGCAATAAAATCCTAATTTATATTTTGTAGCCCCTATAAAAAACAATTAATCAGGCATAAGGAAGACATTACAGCATCAACAGAGGCTTCAGCTGGGCCTTTGAAAAAGCTTATCGATCCATCAATCAGCCTTCTGTACCCCTGTTCTGGAGCAATTAAATGTGGCTGGTAACCATCAGCTTCTGAAACGACTTTCTGCACATTCTTCGTTGAGAGATGGCGATCAAATGGCAACTTCTTCAATGCAGCAGGTAGTTGATGATCGAACACCCCATAGATTCGATCTCCTCCAGGACGCCTACAATAAGACCTCATCAGTAAACCATGGAGAACAATAAAATTACCCAGGAAGAAGAAATTGGCCATTAAATAGGCTTGAGCTTTTCAGCAAGGAAACTAAGCAAACAAAATGAACATCTGTGCATTGTAAACGCCAGAAATATGGCAAGCAAACTTGTCTCTCAATGTCCATACCGTGCTCCAAATGTTTCTATTAATTATGAATAAACAAGGAGAAGTCTTATATTATGTCAAAGCATATTACGAAAGAAACAGAAGGAAAGAAATTTACCCTCCATCAAGGTGCTCCTTAAAAACGCGATCAAATGCACGACATAATTCAAGAATGGTATATAGCTGAGCCTACAAAAAGCAAAGACAAACAGTTGGCATCTAACAATGACACGAGAATAGGTTTAGTTACAAGATATGCCAAAGTGCACTGATAAATTTTTTACCCCCGAGTCCACTGCAATAGGCCTGC